TTATGTAGCATTAATAATTAAAATATATTAATTCTTCTTAATACTTTATAAAAATTTTTACCCCTAAATAAATAAATGTATTTGAAGTTGGCCGCTTTGGAGCTATAATTAACAACAAGAGCTTCCTTTTTTTACCGCATGTTGATTTATTAATGTGTTCTACCTCCAATACATACGTTAAATAGCAGATCAATTAAATTACTGAAAAAACTGTATGCACAATGTAAAAAAATTCACTTTATAAGAACTGAAATAAATTTATATAATTATATAAAATGCTTATTAGTATGAAAAACTTAATTCCTGTACAGTTTACGTATCTAAATGCTTTTATATATATACAAGTTCAAAATTTATCTGAAATTTATTTTTGAGACGTGGCATGAAATTTTAATATCACGATGCATTTTTATAAACAGTGAGATTTAATGTTTAATTTATTATGCATAATATATTTAAAAATTACATATACTGTACATTTGAAATGCAGAAACCTTACTAGAGTAATCATTCTGCTATAAATACAATGAACTTTTAATGAACATGCAGTATCTTTCTGTCGACATAATTCTTTTAAATGTTCTATTTTAGCAAACTGCCGAAATTTGGCTGAAGTACTCTTAGATTTTGGTTAATGTTTTTTAGTGAACTTTGATATTTGAGGTGAATTATTTTGAATGAAAGTTATTCTCAAAATACTGTACTTAAAAATTGTTATGACACTTTTTTGACACATATAAGTTTGGGTTAACAAACTTCCTTACAATAAAAATCTCCGAAAAATTTTATTTTGAAATTTTTTTATTTAACAGATTTCAGTATTACTGCAAAACAATACAGTTATGATGCGTTTATTATCCAAGAAAATAAGGAATTATACGAATAGATTAATTGACCACTGTTGTTGTTGTTTTCTTGTTCTATTAATTCTATTTTCCATGTAATTTTTTATTAATACAAAATACTTACCACAGTTCGTCAAGGTTTTCGACAGAAAGTGAAATAAAAAGTATATTATTGCTTAACACAATTGTATACTCACAACTGTATACTTTCCGTTAGTTTTCCAATAAATTTAATCATATATCATTCTACGGCTGAGTCCATTTTGCCACAACGCAAGTGGCTGGATATGCTTATTCTATCCGGTAAGAGTTGTTTATCTGTTGCCAAAACGCCCCTTCTAAATGTATCAAATTAAATTGTAAATGAACTAAAGAGTGAAAAGAAAAATGGAAGATAATCGTCTGAGCATAATATTTCTTTACCATTTCAGAAAAGTGGATTCCAATTAAAAGCATTTAATTAAAATTGCTGAGTTGTTAGAATTCTTTTAAGTTTGGGAGATTTATGACTGGGAACTGGAAAATTTCGAAAACTGTTGTTAAACCTGCAAATTACACTATTGGACTAATTTTTTGACAATTATTTTTTACGCGAAGAAAGTAACTGATACAAAGCTAGCAGTCTTACTCTAGTATCAGACATTTTCTGGAACTTAAAAATCAGTATTTAAGTTATAAAATAGTTTAATCAATACAGTGGCATTTACAGTCACATTCTTTATCTACGACGCGATTTTTTTTATTTCTTTGCAGCAATATATATCTATTTACTTCTTTATACATTATAATACGTTTTTAGACATTTATCTTCACAGCGATTTATTAGTGCGGTTTTTAAACTGTATGAGTTTTACTGCACATTTTCTTCACTGCTCATAAACACTGCAATCGGTGAAGCCTCTTTTCCTTTATGGAATTGTTGCAAGCAAAGAAAGAATTGCCAGCATTAAAATACAGCTAAAAGCTTAGTTACTAGATTAAATTTGATTAGCGCTGTAATTAAATTGTTATATATGGAACACATATTAAAAGAAATATAATTTTGTATGTGTAACGAGCTATGAGACACATAAAATATTTAAGCACTTTATTATTATTTAAGAATTCAGTTTTTTAATTGACATGTAAGACTTGTTACTTAAATTAACCAGTTATTTATGATTTAGATATTTATTATCCCTTCTCTCTTCCGTTTTCCTACCAGAATACAAATAACTTGTAAGTATTCAAGCCGAGGCTGTTAGGCTGTAAGATAGAGCGTGTTTCTTCTGTTCGAGGCCACGTTAGTATGTATTTGCTAGCTCAGATAAGATTAAATTCTTCGGCTTTGCATTATAGTGCAGATATTTAAAAACTTATGCTGATTAGATTTGTAAGCCAACTTCGCGTTACACTGAATTGTGCAAACTTTGACTCCCAGCTTAATTTTAAAATTTTAACTTACTTTTAAGTTACATCACCACAAACGGATGGCTACTTTGCAAGCACGAGCAGAGCATTTATGTTCCAGTTCTGACTTAATAAAAATGTTTGTTTTAAAACCTTCTTTAGTCTCTGTACTTCTGTTCAGACGGAGCGATAATTCGCTTGACATCTGTTAGAAGTTTGATAGAAGTTTACACTACCAAAACAAGTCAAACTTTATAGACTGGAGAATCTCGTATAATTTCTTCTCTTTATATCTATCAGAATAATAAAGTAAATTCTTGTACTACTACTAAAGATAGTTTTCATATACAAGACTGCTGATAACACAGTTTTAAAGAAGAAATAGAAGAAAAACATGCATTAATAATTTTATTTAATAAAAAAGTTTTATATGGACACTACATGACGTCTTTGTATGGCCTATTAATTTAAACACATTTTTTGCTGTATTTCATTGAAATTTATTTCCTCGAATTTCATAGGAGATATATTTCTCATTCAATTAATTCAGTACTCACTTCGCGACAAAGAAAAAACTCAAAACATCTTCATTAAAAATTGTAAAACACAGAAAACATAAAACACCAAATACAGTTAAAACAGCTAAAATGTGAAAATGAATTTACAAAAAAATTACTGTTTTCATAATAAAAGTATCTAATCCAATTAAATTATACGCATTTTTTGCAGCATTTCATTTAAACTTATTTCCTCGAAATTCATTAGAGATACATTTCTCCATCAATTAATTCATTTCTCACTTCACAGCAAGGCAAAAATACATTAAACCTCAAAATATCTTCCTTAAAAATTAAAAAATATAAAACGCCTACAGTTAAAACAATTAAAAACTATTTTTACAATTAATATTAGAGTTTCTACGCAAAAACAAGCAATTCAGCCAGAGAGTAAGAAAGGAGATTTTTCGTTGCACAAAACTGAAAGTTTACTTTTGGTTCCACCCGGCAAAAAGATATTGAAGGTGCAGAAACTGATTTAATTCACTATTCTACTGAGTTTCAAATGTAAACAAATGGCATTCGTTAGGCTTAACTCGCCAGTTAAAGTTTTAAATTGTTGATCATTCTACAGCACCTGCATGCAAAAAGCAAAAAATACACAATTTATCAACATGTAAGAATAAAAAAACTAAGCTTACCGAGCCAGAGTGAGAATATATATATATATATTTATATACGATGGGTGCAACCGGTTGCAACGAAAAAGAAAGATACATAGCTACATCTTATAGCAGTCCCATACACAAAATTTCAACGTTCTACGGCTACTCGCTCTTAAGTTATGCGAAATACATACATACGTACGTAAAGACGTCAAGAAAAAAAAAATCTTTTCTGAATCCATTTTTAAATGCACTTTACAATACTTTTGGTAAAAACAGTCCTTTATTCCGTTCGTACATACAGATGTCAAGCAAAGGCATTATTCAAATGATTTCGAGAGCGGTTGAAATGGATATTTTCGTTTAAACATAATACACGAACGTTTTCGTGATTACAATTCTTTCTTTACTTCGTACAAGGAAGTAAACATTTATTCTTTCTAAAATAGTTTAGTAGAATATGTATATATAGTATACATTCATTTCCTGGTGTATAGAATTATATGACATATACTTCTGAAAATCATAAGATTTTTAAAACTTACATCTTAAAACATGATATTTTTAATTCAAAAAAGAAAATTAAAAGATTAAAAAAATATTTAATAATGCATTTGGAACCGATACATCGTAAATATTACATGCAATATTATCTTTTAAGCACAATTACGCAATATTATTTTCATACCGTTTTTCAGTGTTAAATTCTTAAACGTGTTTCACATAGCGTTCTTACCAGATTCCTCAAATTTTACTTCCCGAATTTATTCAATTTAGGCATCATGGGAAAAATAATAATGATTAAATGTTCATGAAGTTCCTTTAAAAACGCAGATTATTTAGTAAAAAATAAGTAAGGTAACAATTTTTTAAGAGGAAAAATTTAGAGTTCTTGCTTTTTTAAATGCAATTAAAAAAGCAAAAACGCCTGCCGCAACAGAATTACGGTAACATAAAAAATTTTAATGTCATATGGAATTTAACATAAACCTGAAATTTTCTTTTAAAAGGAAAAGAATAAGGAGAAGTGAAAAATTAGACGACATTCTTTTATTCCATAAGAAAAGGAGACTGGTAAACAGAGGTTTCAAAGGAAACCGAAGCATGAGGGAAAAAGAAATAATTTCTTTGCCTTAATACGCTGCAGACCAGCGTAGAAAAGACAGAATAAGATGACTTAATGTTTTCCATTCTCGTAGTTTTCTAAAGAAGAAAGAAAAGCATGAAACAAATACAATTTTAATGGAAATAACAGACAGCTTCATAGGCTGATCTGCATTGACACAATTCTGATATGACAGTGTAGAGATATTAGGTTAATTGAAAGCAGGAGTCATGAAAAATGAGCAACGCCCTCACCGGGAATCGAACCACGGACCTCTGAAATACGCGCCCAGCGTGCAGATCACTACACCACGAAAGCCTGCTAAGAAAGCGGAGAGAAATACCTTATATACTCCTTCTTTTAAAGGGCGACTGGGGATTAGGGTACCCAATCACCAAATCCTGGGTGTGGAGAATCATCATTCACTACCCATTTAGTTCGGGCGCCAGTGTGGAGACATTAGGTTATTTTTGAAACAGGAAGAAGAGAAAATGAGCAACGCCTTCGCAGGGAATCGAACCACGAGCCTCTGGAATACACGCCCAGCATGCTGACCACTACACTACGAAGGCCTGCTAAGAAGGCGAGAGAAATATCTTATATACTGCTTCTCTTTAAGGGCGACTGGGGATTAGGGGACCCAGTCGCCAAACTCTAGGCGTGGAGAATCATCATTCACCACCCTTTTAGTTCGGGCGCCGCTGTAGAGACATCAGGTATTTTTTGAAAGAAGGAGAGATAGAAAATGAGCAACGCCTCCGTCGGGACTCGAGCCACGGGCCTCTCGAATACGCGTCGAGCATGCTGACCTCTACACTACGAAGGTATGCTAAGAAGTCAGGATAAATACTTTATAACAGAATCAAATGATCTTTATCCTGAAATACCAGTAGAAGTATATTTCATCCAGATTTATTATACATTGCATATGCATCTGCAACGCTTTAATGCTTAAATTCGTGTTCTGTGATAATAATTATCATTTCTCGACATTGGGATAGCAACGTGACCAGGTGTTTTCTATGATTGTCTTAAATCATTTCTAATTAGAACCGGAAAGGAAGTTTTACATGTGCTTTTAATTGCATTATCCTCTCAAAAAGAGACAGGGAAATTAGTTATGAGAAAGATAAAATTTTTTTGGAGAAAACGCCTTTTGACATTATTTGAAATCACTCAAAGGACAAAACGGAGAAATAACAATGACGTTATGAGCGCCACAGGAAGTTTCAAGGTATTTTCTTTGTCCTTATCGAGTGCCTTCATGGTGCAGTTGGGAAGAACAACCGGCTAGAATTCGAGAGTTCTAATCTCAGTGAAGGCATTGCTGATTTCTTTAATGTCAAAATAAATAATCCTAAAGTGTGTAAGTGACGCCGCATAAAAATCTGGTGAACGACATTTCGTCACCGATAATATTTGGATACTGAGTTCCCAGTTACTTTAAATTTCGGAAAATATAAGATATTTTCTCATCCTCACCATATTTTCGTGGTGTAATTCGAAAGCACGTCCGGGTAGAAATCTAAAGGTCCGAAGTTAAAATCCCGGTCGCACATTTTTCACGTTTCCTACTTCGAAAATCTTTACAGCAGCGCTGAACTGAACTGTGGTGGACAATAATAAGTCGCCATCAGGATTTGGAGATTGGCACCCCGCCTCTCCATTCGCCTTTAAGTAGAGGAGAATGTAAGGTATTTTCTCCCTTCTTACCGCGTGCCTTTGTGATGTACTTGAAAGCACATCCGGCTAGCAATTGTGAGGTCTTGCATATTGTTCATGTTTATTACTTTGACAAACATAATGACTCAAAGAAATTACAACAAGAATGAAACTAAAAATTGATACGAATTTCTTTATTTACTTATTTACTCAATGTAATTAAAAACTGATATGAATTACTTAATGATAAGGAAGAAATGTGAATGACTAAAAAAAAAGAATTATCTATAAAGCACAATATTCAAGTTTTAAAAGAAAAAATCTCTTTTTCTGCTTAAATTTTTTTTAAATAGAATTACAACAAATTTTCAGATACTTTATTAGCTTTTTCCATGGAATAAGTACCAGGATGAAATATTGCAATCACCCTTATATAAATACTAGTTTTTGTCCCTGGAAAAAGAAGAAAAATGTCCGCAGATGTATGCAATGTAAGAAAGTCTTATATTGATTATATTAATGGTAAGTATATTAATAATGTTATTAAGAGTGATTTTAAATCGTTTCTTATTCTGAAAACAAATACACTAGTTTAGTTTGAAAGACTGTAGATATCAACAGGTTTTCAAATCCAAGGTATATGGAAAAATGCAGGTATGCTCTTGCATAGATTCGAACTAAGGATTCTCCATTTGCCAGGTGGACATGTTAATTACTTGCACTACAAGAGCACGCATGGAGAAATGCAATAAATTATTATTAAGTCCTTTACTTAAAGGACGACTGGAAAGAGGGAGTGATCCAGTTTACAAAATCTAGTTAGGGATAAATTATCGTCAATCACACTTTAGTTCGAGTGCCACTGTAATGATGATTTCGTTTTCAAACAAAGAAAACGTTAAAGCAATTAACTGCGCTCTTGAGCCGCTTCAAAATACGGATCTTCCAGTTGTCAGTTGAACCTGCTACCTATCTATATCTCGGGGCATCGTAGAAAATGGAATGACTCTTTCAGCAAGGGGGGGGAGGCGATAAGATTAAAAGATAGATCAAAGATATTATGCGATATGGATTGTCGTGGCGTGGAGATTGGAAGAAAAGAGAAAGGATGGTACACGGCAATTCGATACCGTAAAGTGACGGAAATGATTGAAAAATTAAGTTGTAGATGTTTTTGATGTCAAAATAAAATCTTGTAAAAATTTATTAATTTTTAAATGCCAAAAATATGCATGAATAAATGATTTCGTCACATATTATGCACTTCATATTGGTAAATATTCTTAGGCACTTTCATTTAGGCAGTTTTATATATTTTATATATATATTTATATAAAACAAACTTCATATAAAATTTGTTTTTATATGAAGTATACTTATACTACTGCCTAAATGAAACTATATGTAATCTTTATATAGATTTCTATAAAGAATACTTTATATAAAACTATTGCTGTATATAGCATTAAAAATATAGCCATTAATATACATATATATATAAGGTAAAAAGGAAATTCTTCTAGCTATTGCTTGAAAGCAAATGTGATACTGTGGTTCCCGTGTATAATTTTTTAGCACTATGTAAAAATAAATTGTATTACAAAAAATTTAAATACAAGAAGTATGACATACTTAACAAGAAAACTGACAAATAAAAAATGAATGTAAAACTCAAAACAAATTTAAAAGTTGAAAAATGTTGATGAAAGTTTAAACAATCCTCAAACATTTTAAAATAAACACATAAATTATTTAAAATACTAGCAAAATTATTGATAAACGGTAAATGGTAAATTAGTCCAATTCGAATCTCATTACGGACTTTTCAAGGGAAATGCACAATGAGTTTTGAATCCAGCTAATTCCATAACGCATTTCGTCAAAACATGAAGAATTGAGACTGAACACGAAAAAACCTTTTGACTATTAAACAGACAAAAATACCAAATATTACTTAAGTCTCAATTTTTCTGTTTCATTTTCCAACGCGTCCGCTGGTGAAAAGTAAATGAGAAACACAAGAAAAAAAACTATACAAACTAGTCTTTAATTTGTTCTCCTTTCTTCCTTTATATATATATATATGTGTGTGTGGCCACAATCAAGTTGGCACAGTAATTGTGACTATACCGAAAAGTTTACATTTTAGATAAATTTGCAGTAAGCAAGAAAGAGCAGACATATTACAGTCCAGCTAAGCCAAAGCGTAGGAAGCAAGTACGTTAAGTTCGAGGTGAAATCTTAATTTAGACTGAGTAGTTTTTGTTCTCAATGCATTTTGATTGGATAGCTAATATTGCTATAAAATTACTAATGGCTGTCTGAGTTTTAGTTCCATTTATATCATAAGTACGTAAGAATCATATGGCATAAAATAGTCCTCGAAATGACGCAATGCAGAGAGAGAATTTTTAGAATTGAGAAAGGAAATTTACGTTGCTAATTTAATCTTTAAAATATTCTTTATTTTTCTTACCTCTGTATATATACGTATATATAATTTTTTAAATGAAAAGGAAATAGTTGGAGTTTATATGCAAGTTTACAATTTCTTTTCTATGAAGGTCCTAACCATTTTGTATCTCGAAAAAGGTCGTACCCAAAGGTCGTACAAGAAAAAATTACAAGAACGGAAACAATATTGAAAGCATGACATAATAAAATATCTCTTCAGTTCATCGCTTCAAACAGAACTTATCAAGGGAAAAGTGTTTTGAAGCCCAAAACCAAGTTGATCAATGAGTTACGAACACAATTTTCGTTCCTCGGAGACATTTCAGATACAGAACCGTAATTTTTTAAATAAATTTTCAATTTAAAGTAACTTTCAGTGGCTCTCAAATGCTTAGACCTTTTCAATTACTTGCATTCGTACCCTTTAGACAGAAAAATTACAATACTTAAGAAGAAATTAAAAAATATATATAAATTAAGGTTCAAAAATACATAAAAAGTATCGAATAAAAACCCGCTAAATATTTTTTTTAGGCAGTAACCTGAAAAACTAAAATGCCTAAAACGGCCAAACGAACTATTTACAATCATACACAACTACGGGAAATCCTGAAATAAAACAAGTAACGAATTAAAATGATCAGTATTTAAAACCTAAAAAAGGGGCTGCTCGAATGCGTGTTAAATTAGCTTTAATCTGAATCGAAAAAAATCAGATAAACTTTGCAACTAAAAGCTGCTGAGATTGCACTAATTTATATTAAAAGCTTATAAAGATACGAAAGAAGCTACCGAGAATTAAAAAGGAAAAAAAAAAAAAAAAACTAAAGGAAAATCTCCCAAGACTAAACGAAATCAAATTCAGAAGGTTGCAAAACAAATAATTTTATTAAAAATTATTCTAATAAATATCCTAAAATTCTTGAAGAAAAACGGCGAGAACAAATGAAGTTTCTTTAGAAAAAAAAAAATCTATTGGGCCCACCAGCGGCCAAGCGGTAAAGTCACTGAACACTGGTAGTTCGGTCCGAGGTTCGAATCTCGCGAACGGGCTGGCTGCATCGGTGTTTTCGTGGTTTTCCCCATGTGTAACGTGTATACGAGCCAGTTTCCCTTAGAAAGTCCTCCACGAAAGCACCCCTCCTCTTAGGCAGATAGCCCTCGAGGCTTTGCCGTAATTAAATAACCTAACCTTAAAAATCTATAAAGTATACTTTATATAAAATTATATAAGAATTTTATACAAAGCATACTTTATATAAATTATATAAGAAGTTTTTCAGATATTATATAAATTATATAAGATTATATATTTGGATATTATATACTTAAAATTATATAAGAAGTTTTATATAAAGCATTTTTTTTATAAAACTGCCTAAATAAAAATAAACTTAAAATCACAAACAATGTAAGCGGAACACACCAACCTCAATTCAAAATTTAATGCTAGCTT